AAACCCCAAAACCCTAAACCCCTCAGTGGCGCCCAGGCCCGGTGGCCATCCCGGGCTCAGCCCCAGAGGGGTCTCTGCTCCAAAATTCGCCAAGGCTCTGCTTCATGGCTCCCTCCAGGTTGCGCTTCCCGATCCAGCAGAAGGGTCAGACGACGTCGCTGATCACGTCGACCATGACCTGAGGGGGGGGGGGGGCGGTTCGCACCCTCATCAGCAGAAGACATGATTCTCCCCAGTGGTTCTTTAACTTTGAAAAGCCATTTAGCAGTACTCATGGCAACCATGGCAGCCCACGGTCTGCCTTCTTCTTTGCCGCCATTGCTCCCGACTTGCCCGCGCAGTCGCAGGCCACGTTCGCCGAGAAGGGTTTCGGGGCGCACACGCTGCAGCCCAGACGTCCAATGCCGGCTAAGGTTCAGCGGTACAGGGTGCTGGGCTGAAGGCACGCACAGGGTCCAAGCTCTGAGAAACGTGCCAGGTTCGGCTGTTTGTCGAAGGCTACGCGCTCTTAGTCGTACCTACAAGGATTGCGAAACTACTGTAACGTGTTCCTTCCTCCCCCCACAGAAAGAGCAATGCGGGGAGCTGGGGGGGCTCTGGGACTAATAGCGATGCCTCTCCGTGTTGGCGCAGGACGCCCTTCAGACCTGGTATTCGGAGTTCAGTCGTTTTCCCATTTCTTGCTTCGTGGTTGGATGCAACGCTGCTCGTGCCTCGGAGCCCTCAGCCTCAGCCTGAAACCCTAGGAACCTTCGACCGCGAGAGCTAACGCAGCTTGCCGAGCTTGAACCCTGTAGACACACCATCAAAGCAGCGAGAACCGGGCGAATCAGATCCTGCCCCAAGCGCTCCACGACGCTCCGGAGCCAGTCCTATTGCAATAGCTGTGGGCAAGGATTGTCTCAGAAGTCCTGATAGTGAAGAGACAGGACGATTGCGATGGCGATGCTGGTGATGACTATGGCAACCTTCTCGGCAATTGAAGCTACACCTCACCTTGCAAGTCGTTTCTACACACCGTGTTCGTGCTGAAGCTATCCGCGAGCCTCTGCACTGACCCCTTCATTATCATTACTCTGTAAGGCCTGTGCCGAATCGCATCATGGAGCACGGAAGCAGCTCAATCCAAGGATTTGCGAACACGCTATGTCTAGTCGACGCATCCTATTGGCGTGGTAAGCCCGAAACACATACATAGCCCCAGAACCCCAAACGCCAATCGCAAAGCACCTGGCTACTAACCTTAAGCTCTAAGCAAGACTAAGCACCAAAGCGGATTTGTGTTTAAGGAATCTGGCTTGGGGTTTCTAAGGTAGAGATCACAGCTTGAAGACCCGTGTTTACACTCAGAGATTAGCTTTGTGGGCAGGCAAGCCTGACTTACAACAAGCCTCCCACCTCGAGAGCCGAGCGTTCGATGGCCTCCGCTATTTCAAGGCCTGTCAGTAACTGCGATTTCTCAGAACCCTAAACCCCAAACCCTAAATCCCTCAATATCAAGAGCTAGGGACTGACAGTTTCGGGCATCTTGTCCGTCGGGCAAAGGAAATGCGAGTGTGAGCGTGCTCCTATGACTACAGCTTCCCCAAGTAGCTTAATGGCTCATCGCGTGTCATTATGGGTGTTACCTCGACTTATGGGGCTGGGAGGATTTCTTGGCAGGATTTTCGGACTTTTTTGTGTATGAGACTGGCTCAGCGGGCGCTTCTCTGGTGTTTCCGGAAGTCTAAATCCCGCAAAATCGTATCCCTGAGCCCTCATTTCTGAATCCATGCCAGCGAAGTGAAGCATGCAGAATCTAGAGACACTCAGCGACAGGCAAACTCCGGGATTACCCCCTGAAGTGTGCAATTGGAGGAAGGATCCTGGAAGCCGAAAGCGGGCGTCAGGCCTAGGCTGCTCATGGCGCTGTGAGCGTGGGGGTGCTCCTGTTGCTGCTTAGTGGCAATGGGGGGTTATAGGGACTACTATAAGGGACCATGATAGGGATCCATTCCCCCTTTCCCTACTAAGCACCAGACAGTCATGGCAGGATCGGCATCGGCGAAATCTCACGCTCGAGACTCTGGAGCTCTGACAGTTATAGGGCTTTCGGGCTTCAGTTCCTTCCCGCAGGGCGTGCAGAAACTGCAGGATTGCAGGGCTTCTCGCTCGGACAAGTCTGCGCAACTCTCGGCAAGGCCTCACGCCCGTGTCCATGATCGTGACCTTCTCCATGGCCGTCCCCTTGGCTATCGAACTTCTGGCTTTCAGCTATGCCAACTGACGGCCCTATAACCTACCAGATGCTGAGGAATGAGCCATGGTCGGCATCCGACGTCAGGAAGTGCGCATCCTGACTTCCAGCTGCTTTTGGTCTCAGAGCGCGGGTTGAGAAGGCTTGGGGCCAAGCAGCCTAAACTGAACCCGGCACTCCCAAACTACAGAGCCGGGCCACATCAAGTCGGATATCAAGCTATGGAGCTGCTGTGGAATCGTTGCCTTCTGGTTTGGGCGGGGGGCTAAAGCTCAATGGAACTGGATCGGCGAATGCAATGATCTGCACATGCATAAGGTTCGGGTGACATCACGGCATATTCTGGCGGCAATCCCTAGTCGCAACCGCAATCCTCCTCAAAGGCAACAGATGTCTTCACCATCATCGCATCATCAACTGTCAGCTCGTACTCGGCGCAGGAGTAATTAGGAACAATGAAGGGAACTTAAAGTAGCAAACTCCCAACCTCCCAATTAGACTTGACTCAAAGCCAACTCCAAGCCGCAGCCCCGACATCCTCAATCATGCAAAGCCTAACTTTGTGACTCTCCGACAGCCGCGCCAGTGAGATCGCGCCGTCGAGTGAGAAAGAGTTCACCTGCAGGACCTGCGCCAAATTCACCTGAGCCATAAGAGGCCAAGAGCCTTGGAGACAAGGCTGGGGGTCGTGAGATCGGGTCGAGAACCAGCATTATGCAAGACAAAGACTTCATAGCAAGTTTCGCCAAGATGTCGAGGTTGAGGCAGGCAAACCCCTGCTGCTCTTGCACAGCATGTTGCCCTTTCAAACCGAGCAGTCTTCTTTCCCGATTTCCCGGTTCTAGACAGCCGGTAATTTCACGCCGAACTCCATTCCCTTTTCTGAGCACGAGCCCCCATCCAGCATTGCGGAAACAACTCACCTCACGCCTGGACCCCAAACCCCCAGCTCCAGAAATGCATGGAGGGGATCTTAAACCCTGCAGGCCATATTATGCCCTGTGGAATCCATTCTCGAGCCGGCATCGAACCCAAAAAGGAACCCTCCCACGGAGGAGCCTTGCTCCTAAAACCTAAACCCTGAACCCGAAACCACAAAAAGGAACCCTCACCGGGGCACGAGCCTTGCCATGTCGGCAGGGGACCACCCGCACGGCCGGGTTCACCTCGCGAATGCGAGAGGACACCTGGCGGTCAGAGCGGTTCTTCCGGCTTAGGGCTTACAGGGCTTGTAGGGTGTAGGGCCTGGTTTAGGGCTCAGGGCTTGTAGGGTTTAGGGTTTAGGGCTTAGGGTTTAGAGGAATGAGCCCTGCAGTCAACACTCCCCCTGACGCGCCCAAGCCCTAAGCCCCTGAGCAGCCCGACTATCTCAACCGGGCTTCTGCAAAGCACCTGGTCCCTCTGAGCCGAATCCACGAGGTCGCACTTGTTCAGCAAACAGACCTCCACGAGCTTACCCAGAGACTCCAATATTCCTTAATGAAGGAATAATCCTGAAATTATAGTAGGATCCCTAATATGATTTAAGGTATATTCCTTAACTAAGGGATATTGGAGTCTCTGGCACGAGCTTAGCCGAACTCAAGGATCGAGGTCTCAAGGCTCAGTGGAGTTGTCATCGGAGTCTCCGCAGTAGCACTGGCAGCAGAAGCAGCAGCGGTAGTGGAGGTAGTGTTGTCTTAGGGTTTAGGGCTGTTTCTGCCTTGACCAGCTCCACTGTCGAGCATATTGCCGACGTACGATGTCATGTTTTTTGCTTACACCCGCATGCAGCTCCCAAGAGCGATCATTTCAGTAGGGCTGCGGTCCCCGTCGTATCACCATCACTGGAAACAGCCGAGTGGAGCTCGCAATGCTGCATACAGTCTAGACGTAGGCACGCAATCGCAACGTTGCAAGCCTGCAAGATTCCTGATGGGCCCAGTCAGGTAGACGAGTGCAGCCTACGAAGCCCTGCACCCCAAGGCCGCACACCGGCCAGGCCCCCGGCGTCACTGATGGCCAGCTGCTCTCTGAGGAGCTGCCTGGTAATTTCTTTGGGAAATTACAGCTCAATGCACTTAAAGCCCCGAGCGTACGGACTTACGGCTTTGAGGGATTTGGCGCTGTAGGGTTTAGCACTTTGAGGTAAGGGGCATTTCGCGCTTGGTACGGGCGTTTTGGGCTTTCTGATTTGAAGCGAATTGGTGGTGCTTACCCAGGCAGGTGTGCTTGGGATTCCTTGGTATCATGAAGTCTACAATGGGCACCTGAACAACCGCTAGAACCCAATTTGCTATCGCCCCTTTGTGCCTCGTTTAAAGGCTAATTAAGCTCCTGTAAACCACAAACCCTAGAACACCCAAACCTTTCACACTCCCAAAACCCAAATCCTGAACTCCACAAATCCCCACAACCAAGACCCTAAAGCTTAAAACCTCCCAAACCCAAACCCAAACCCAAACCCAAACCCAACCAATTCCCGACAAGCACCCAAATCCAAACCACAACAAAACCCCCAAAAAATACTCCCGAAACCCAAACCCCGAACCCCGTCAACTTCCAATCCCAAGCCAAAAACCTTTTTCAAAAACCTAGACACTCCCCAACCCAACCATATTTTGTGCTTCCAATCCCCAAAATCTCGCAAACCCAAATCCCAAACCCCAAAAACTCCCAAGCAAGAGCCTGCCTAAATGCCCCCAACATCAAACTCCCAACTTTCCAAAACTTTCCCAAACCTAAACCCCAAAGACTCCCAAACCCACCACGCCCCATGCTCTCGGCCCCGAGCGCCACATCCGCACCAGCGGAACCCTCGGAGGCAACGCCGCCCTGGGGCTCCGTTAGTTGATGTGGGGGCCTCAATAATTAGAATAGGTTTAGGGTTTAGGGTTGTGGGGCCCGTTATACTATAGTTATAAGAAGGAACCCCCCAAAATAGCATACGTAATTATTTAGGCCCCCAGATCAGGGTCTTTTGCGAGTTTTCGGCCTTAGGCTTCAGGACTTTGGAGCTGGAGGGCCCGAGGATGCGGAGAAGAATGGAGAGGGGGTGTTTTCTCGAGGTCTTCACAAACTTTGTGATGTGAGGCTTCGGTGCTGAGGATTTGGGAATTGGTGGGGGCCTTGCAGGGCCTCGGACTCCGACCTTCCAGCCTCAAGTTCAAGGAAACTAGAGGTGGAGAGTTTAGGGTATATAGGGCTTCTATAAGGCTTCTATAAGGTATATAAACCTTCTATAAGGCTCCTAGAACGGTAACTACCCACCTGAAAATGTCCTAGATCAAGCGGTTTGCTGCAAAGCTGCAGCTAAACAACGCTCGTCACGAGTCCACTGAGCTCATCCGCTTGTACGTCTTACCTAAATGCCTTACTGCACTGCCGCGATGGCCTCTTGTCTCCGTCCTTTCGCCCCCGTCTGCAATCCTAAACCCTAGACCCTGTACCCTAAGACGGCCTCGAGCTGGTCAAAGCTGGCTGCATCACCTCGGCAGAAGGCTGCAGTGAAGCCGGGCCTCTTGCAGCTCAGTTATGTAGTATTGTATAGTATACAATATTACACACTATACTGTGTCGCAAAACATGTTATATGGGATGAAGTAGCCACTACAAGATTTCTCTATACTAACTCTACTACAACTACTCTGTTCTGTGTACGAGACTGCTATACAGTAGAGCGTGCAAGACAACACAATTTAGCACAACACAGGACAAGACAACACACCACGCCACAAGAGAAGACAGTGCAATAAAATGTTGCATGTCTTTAGCCATGCTTGCTTGCAAGCGAAAACATAGGTGAATGCAGTCTGTCGCAAGAAGCTGGCATGAACTAGCACAGCATTGCAAAACACCAGTTAAATTGTGCAACATCTCAACAGAGTACAAGACGCTACGCTACATGGCGTCATAGCAGCGTATGGCAATGCCACACTATATTTTACCGGAGTACATCAGCAGCTTCACAGGCTGTGTAATCTACTTCACTATGTGGTATGTCCAGCATAAAATACATGACATTGCGCAGCACTACTACTGTACATAACTTATGTGAACTTTGACCAACCCTACATGGCATCAACATTAGGTTATACATCATTCTCCTACATTTGCACGGCGCGCATTGCATTGCAATTTTAAAGACCACACACCAGCGGTACTGTATAATCATTTACAGTACATTGTAGTCCGTTGCAGCGCATTCAATTACAGAGCCTAGCAGGCTTTTACGCAGCACTGCTCTACACCTCATCAGAATGCATTACAGGTAGTTACATTGCCGGCAATGCATACAGGACTTGCAACACAACGCACACATGCATGCCTGCCCAATGCATACATACCCAGTTCGCCTCAGGGCCTACTGCCACCGTCGGCCTACTCGCAACCCTTCGCAGAATCAGTACCCGGCACACACAGACCACGCTGTCAAGCTTGAAAGATGCCTTCCAGGTGCATCTGCGATAGACGGGCTTTCTGCTACCCTGCGCTTCTTGTCGGAAATCATGAGATTGGGATAACGGGAACTTACGGTTCATACTTGGACGCAGAGAAGATACCTTACTTTGCCCAGTGCTTGCAAACACAAGCAGGGTTTCCAGAGCTCAAGCTTGACTTGCTTGAAGCCTGAAACTCCAAAAATCCTGAGATCCCATTGTGAAGGAGACGCGGTCGCAAGGCCATTTTCGGTCGGTGCTTTGTCCCTCTGCAAGGGAATCCGTGCTGATCTTGCAATGGCTCTCTATCGAGAATAGCCCCGCTTGGAAGGGAGTACCCCCTGCCTCGGTGTGATCATTATGACCTTAATTAGGAATATACCTTAAATTATACGGGGCTTATTATTACGATTTAAGGTATACTCCTTAATGAAGGGGTATTGGGCTCTCTGTATGATGGTGCTTGTAGCATCGCGAAAGCTACTTAGATCCGTAGGAGATGTTCGTATCCTAAAATGCACGAGCATGAGGCTAATGATGCAGGACAGGAAGATGATGATGGTGATGACGATGGCGGTGATGTGATGGTAATCATGGAGCCATGGTTGTGACAGTGGTGATGGTGGGGACGATGGCGATTCTCAGCATGACTGTCATCCTCCTGCTCATGCTCACCATCATCACTACCAACCTCATTATCAGTCGTCATCAACCTTCCGTCTCCAGCAGTAGTCAGGTTTTCTTTGGCCCAGCAGGAGGAGGGGCGGCAGTAGCCGAAGAAGCATATGCAACAGTTCATGCAACACTTGGTGCAGGAGGAGGAGGGGGAGGAGGAGGGGATGAGGAGCAGGAGGAGCAACCGCGTGCAGAATCGCCAGCAGCTGTCGCAGTAGGACCAGTCATACAGGGGGTCTAGAATTGGCTGGAAACGGCTCAGTGTCATGCGCCTCTGGGATTTCGACTGAGGCCAATATGTCAATATGCGAGGGCCAGGGGCGGTCGACAAAGCGAGCCGCCGAGTGGAAATCTGCGACTTGTCGCACTCAGCCTGCTGCAAGTTCGGGATCCTGGGTTTGAGAGTCAAGGCTCATTGTGAAGTCATTTCTTCTGGGATAATGGCACTTCGCAGCATTCGGCGATGAGGCGATGCTTCAAACTTGCAGGAGCTTGAAGTCAAAAAACACGTGCATTGGCGAGTTTGGCCAAATTTCCTGCCACAGCAGCGACAGAAACTACCACGACCACGAGGACTGCTGCTTGTCGCTACTCCTACTTCTGCTGCTGCTGTCGCTGTTGCTGACACCGCTTCTACTTCCGTGGCTCCGGAGTAGTGAGTAGTGTCGCCACCCGATCATGGAAATTGACGTCACCTACCGTGATCATTCCAACCTATCAACCTCTTGTTAATTAGGATCCTCCGGAAAGCAACCTGGGCCAGTCATCTCTCGGCAGCTAGGGCTTTGCGACTAGGACTGAGGACGAGGCCGTGACACTCAAGTAGGCGACACTGGTCTGTTCCGCTTCGCGGACAGACCGCTGCTCTTGGCAGCAGCGATAAAACTTCCGTCAAAAGCCCCTGAAGGTAGGTGGGTCGAGTGCGCGCTGTCTTCCGCTACAGGTGTGCGCTGCCACATAGATGTATATAGTTAATTTTGTATTCACGCACATACATCCACGTGAACCTTGCAGGAATAGCCAACCCCGCGTGAATCTTCGAATGGTGAACCTTTAACCCGATTTTCGAAGCCTGAAAGGTGCGGACCGCCCCCGTGAATTTCCCAAATCCAGCCACGGGCTATCCCTGCTCCAACTGCAAAACAACATGAGCTGCCAACAGTAAGCCTAGTGAGCGACCCCGCGCACACTAGCCCAAAGGCTGCGCAGAAAAAGTAGCCCAAAGGAAGAATCCGAGACCCGAAAGGCGACTGGTTCAGTCGGGCACGGAAGACCCTCTGGATTGGGGAACATGCGCACAGGACCCCCTGAGACCATCCCTTACAGGGCCTCTCGACCTGAGAGCTTTCGACCTCAGGTCTGGATCGTGGGCAGCTGTGGCCTGAGCTCTCGAGTAGTTTGGAGGGGGCCTTTGGAGGGCCTAAGCCTGGGGCCTCCCCCCGCTTCCAAGGAATTTGGGTTTAAGGTTTAGGGTTTAGGGTTCAGGGTTTAGGGGTCAGGGTTTAGGGTTCAGGGTTTAGGGTTTAGGGTTTAGGGTTCAGGGTTCAGGGATTTGGGTTTATGCTTGTGCGTTTGGCCTGTAGCGCCATTTGCTTCGGCAGAGCGCTCGTCAATGTCCCCAAGTGGCCAGGGTGAGTGGCGGGGGCCCGCACCCGTGAATAAAAAAGCGGGTCAGGAAATCAATGAGCAGCTCATAGTTGCAAGGAGAAGGCCATCGATTTTACTGTTGGAAGTGTATGGAAACCTCACACTGATTGCAAACAATCCGAGCCCTGCCGAAGAAAGGTTACTGCTGCTTAAATGCAGGTACGCGCAGTTAGAAATAACAGTAGGGTTTTTTCCAGGCAATTTGGCGATTGCTCTAATCGTCAAGAAGCCGAGTTAAAGCATTTACGTCCAGCAGGTTGCAGATTGCCGATGGAAGTTTGCACAGAAATCACAGTCACCAGAATACCTACATGCATGTGTAGACACGAGATACCTTCACAAATTTAAGGACTGAGGACAACTACAACATAGGCCCGTCTCGAGCAGAAAAGACCTGACGACTAGGAGCAAGCATCAACCGGGTGTCTGAAGGCACGCACTGGGAACGCAAGCAGAGGTATGTCCTCAAGTGCTGGGAGGCGTCGGCAGACTGGCGCCCCGAGTTTCCCGAACTAAGCACTCCCGAGCCTGCACCCTAGCAGCTGAAACGCGGCCTTCATCCTTAGAATCGGGTTTTGGGGCCAATGATACTATGACTATACTATAAGGAGCCCCCCAAAATAGTAAATAGGTGATTCCGAAGGCCCCTTTTTTGCACCGAACCCAAAACCCCAAGCTCAAGCCTGAATGTTGCAAACGTCCTCAGCTGCTCCGAAACCACCTGCGGCAAGGTCGCAGCCCATCTGCGTTTGGGCCTACGTCTAGAAACTCCGCCGTATCCCCCATGTCCAGGACCTTGGCGTTTGGATTCTCGGACGCCATGCTTCGGTCAGGCGAACCGAGGGTGCTTGAAGATTAAAGAGGGCTTCGGCTTCGGGCTCCGAGCTGGCGGGGTCTTGGGCCTTGGGTTTATGAACCCAACATCCAGTGGGTTGTCTACACCTTCGCACACGTGCACGTGCTCGCGCTCGGGACTGGAGAGGCCAGGCATACGCAACCACCAGACAATTCACTTCAAGGAAGTGGAGCTCGCAGCCGAGGAGCGGTTTGCCCGTCGGGGCTGTCAGCCAGATATCCTGCACCCGGAAATGAGTTCAGACTTCAGGCAGCTTGGGATTCTGCAGGTCCAGGCTCTGCTACATTCCAAACACGATCACCCAGCCAGTCCAGAACAACAGCTTCTACGCGAAGATCCGAGCTGCAAGAGTGCACTGCTTCTGCAGCGCGGCTGCCGTGATTGTAGCTACCACAAGACGAGATCTGTTTGCTGGAAGCAGTGGGCTCTGAAATAATCCGAACGAACCAGCTGTGATGCGGATGATTGTGATGAAGATGAAGACGACGACGGCCGGTGAGTAGTGATGGGTGTTGCGGCGGTGGTGGCGACGCGGTGGTGGCGGCACGGTGATCGCCGTTGTAGTTAGGTTCTGCTTCCGAAGCTTCTCCCGCCCCATTGTTGGCATCCCTGCCGCTGCCAGGAAACGGTCTTCTTAGAACTGTCGCGACATTGCAGGCCCCGGACATCCAACAACAGGTGCCGGGATCATTCCGCTCTTTTTTCCCGAACTCCTCAAGGCTTTGCACCCGAACTCTCGAGACATCGGAAACCGAGAACCCAAACCCTCTCCACCCTTTCCAGACCCTGGTTCAGTGCCAGGAGACCCTCAGGCGGCGCCAGGGGCATCATGCCGGCCATACTCCCCGAGAAGACCTCGCTGGCTGGGGGTTTCAGGTCTGAGTCGGTCTGAGGTTCAATGATTTAAGGTTCAAGTTTCAGGGTTTTTGGGCTCACGTTTGGGGCATAGGGTTCAGAGCTTTGTGTTTCAAGGTTATCGCCTGCCTTTCCAAAACGAAGCTCTGATGCTTGGTTGCGGCGACACTTCTGGAGCCACACACACACAAAAGAACAAGGATCCAATCATGAACGGGGGGCTCAGGGTTTAGGGTAAGGGCGCATCGTTGCAAGGGGTCAGGTTCTAATACTTCAGGTCTGGCGTTGGTGGCTCTCCAGTTCTTCCATCGGTGTCGATACGGCTGTTTCCAGGGTTGTAAATGGGCTATATCAATAAAAAGGCTGAATAACTAGAACCTGGTTTGGGGGGCTCCATACTGGGATCACAACAGGAAGCATGGGCAATAATCTATAATTCAGTCGTACATTGCCCAAGCAACCTCACACAATCCGTGAACCCAGCACTTGGACGTTACCTCTAAAAACGCCAAAAGTGTTCAGGGCTGTATAGGGTTAAGGGCTTGGGGGGTTTGAAAAACCCTACGGACCCCAAAACGTTGCATGCTACACCCATTGTGAACCGCTCCGCTTGTTACTAGCAGTTGTGGTGTGTATGCTATGTCGTGACTTGTTGCAGGCTACAGCAATAGATTAAAGTAGCGTGCGCAATCCTAAACAGGCACGCTGGCACGGCCTCTTCATCTTATTGCCTGGATCCCCTTTAGTTGGTGACAGAAACGAAGCGGGGCCACTTTTGACTGCTGTACTTAAGTACTAGAGATGATCGCTGAGTCCCTTCATCCGGGTTGGGCTTCAGCACCCAACATCGGGGCTGGAAGCTAGACCCTCGTAGGTGTAGGAGGGGTGACCCAGGTGTGACGGACTGAGAAGTTCCAGCCTCCAGCGTGTCTATTCTTTGGCTCATCTTGACGTCCTGTTCGTCCTGGCACCGGGACCCATTTTTGTCACCTACAAGAACACTCCGAAATTATAAACAACTCCGAAGTTGTTCCACCCCAAAGGCCTGAAATCACGCCCCCGGTCAAAAACAGACAAAGATGTGTGCGGGATCTCAACTTGGCCCTTTCAGGGCTGAGGATTTAAGACTGAACCTTTTGGCTTTTGGCATCGATTTGAAATGGGTGCTGAGATGTCATGGGCTGAAGTGTTTGGGCATCGGGTTTGACATTCCGCCCTCGGCCTGCGTTTGATTTTAATCTCGAGACGCCTCAGCACACCTTGATCTTGAAGCCTGGTTCGTCACGCGGCGTCTCCCAATCTGTTCGTGCGAAAACTGTCAGCTGCGAGAAAAAATGTAGCTGGAACGGTGTGATCATACGGACAGGGGCCCATCTCTTCAAGCGGCCTCCCGACTACTACTACTACTACTACTACTACTACTACTACTACCACTACTACTACTACTACTACTACCACTACTACTACTACTACTACTACTACTACTACTACTACCTAGTACTACTACTA